GCAAAGTCCATGGCGCCTGCTCAGGGGTCAGAGAGAGTGGGCCGTGCTGGAGACCCCTGTGGGCTGAATGCATGCACGTCGCAGCCCTGATGCCCTTGCTGGTCTGCACACCATTCTACATGCTCATCAGGCCCTATCAATTTCCTCTCTGGCCAGCCCATGCTTCTGCTGCGTCTGGTTGCATCCCAACATGTCCTGGTTTTACGCACCACTTCCTGGCTTGCAAAGGGGCTGCAGGAAGAGGTGGGGCCCCCTCCCCATTGGACCCTCACATCGTCCCTGTCAAGGAGGGCATGAGCTTATTGCTGCCTCCTGCTCCAGCACCTTTTTCAGGAAAATCTCGGGAGGGGGTCTTCTCTGCCAGATCTGAGGGGCTGTTTGCAAAGGGGTAAATCCCTGAGTCTGACTGTCTTCAGGCAACATCTCCTCCATTGGGGTGGGACCCCTAGCCAGGCACAGAAGCTTGCAACACACCCTATTACATGTGTGTGTGTGTGTGGGAGTGGATGTCAGAGAGTACCCCGTCACGGCTCCTCCGGCTCTCGTGGGGGGGTGGGCCTCCATGAAGGTGTGGGCAGGCAGCGTACAGAGAGAGACTCGGGCCACTGTAGGTGTGACCGAAAGAATCCAACCCACTTGTGTAAGAGCCAGGCGAGGGCGGGCCACAAGTCAAGGTGCTTTGTGGACACAGTCTGGAAATAGAGAGGTCCATAGCTCATGCCTGCTCTCGCTGCAGGGCTGGGAAGAAAGAGGGAAGGCTGATGTGGGAAATGAGGGCTGGCTCCTGGCACGGTACCGGAGGAGGAGGGATATCGAGGGCAAGATGTCCTTACTGGGGTGAACCCGGAAGTGAAGTCATACCCGTGAGATGATGCTCTAGGGGTGTCAAACTCATTTGTCATGAGGGCCAGATCTGGCATACCTGAGACCTTGTCGGGCCCCTGGGCCACGTGTGTCATAAAAGGTAATGCCAGGGAGCAGAGAGATATAAACTTTATAAAGGATACAGACAAACACAATTAAGGATTTTTTAAACTTTAAATGACACATTTTCGGTGATTTCGACACCCCTGCTTCTAGCATTTGCAGAATGCTTTATGGGTTGACCAAAGACTTCCTAGTCAGTGCTGGAGTATCCTGTTGATGGCAATTTTGGGCTCATCCCCCCCCCTTACAAGCAGTGGCAGGGGTTGGGGGCTGCCACCAGGAGGTCTCTCATCTAGAGGAAGACCCGGCAGCCCTCTGCGGAATATGCCACAGCCTGGCCTATGGACTCCGCTGGGTTTGTTCAGGGGTAACCCAACAGAACCCGGGCGACTCAGATCCCTCTCCTCAGTTATCTTTTCCAATTGGAGGGGGGGGTCAATAAACAACAGCACCCTTCTGGCTTTCAATAAAGTGCTTCAAAAAGAAAACAAGGTAAAATTTATCACACACCCAGCAACCTTTACAACGACAGGTACAACCGAAGACTGATTTCTATGAACACGGCAATGTTTGCAGAGACAGAATCTTCAGTGCCCTCCGGAAAGGCCACTCTGAACAAAGGCAAGTCCCAAAAAGCAGTGCCCGGGAACACCAAGCAAGCAGCAAGTGCAAAATGGTCACTTAAGGAAGTGCCTGGAAAGTCCCCGCAGTTCTGTGTGTCAGCCTCTAGGCTTTCTCTCTCCTGCGGCAGGCCAGAACAACTCAGGGGAAAGGGTTTTAAACAACACCAGCTTGACAAAGCCTTCCTTTATAATATCTCCTCAAGGGGAAATTCTGATAGCTAGTTTGGTGCAGTGGCTGGGAGTGCAGATGCTAATCTGGGAGAACCGGGTTTCATTCCCCACTCCTCCACATGCAGCTGCTGGCGTGACCTTGGGTCAGTCACTAGTTCTCTCAGAGCTGTTCTCTCAAGGGCAGTTCTGGAAAGAGCTCTCTCAGCCCCACCTGCCTCACAGGGTGTCTGTTGTGGGAAGGGGAAGAAGTTTGTAAGCTGCTCTGAGACTCCAAGTGAAGGGCGGGGTATAAATCCATCCATCCTCCTCCTCCTCCTCCTCCTCCTCCTCCTCCTCCTCTTCTTTTTTTAAAAACAATTTTATTATTTTGATATATTTAACAAAAACCACATTACAATTATACATTCTTCTTCTTCTTCTTCTTTGCAATTTCTCCCTGGTTGGGCCCATCACAGACCTGCAAAGAAATTCACAGTTGCCTCCCTCAAGCTCTGGGCCTTGTCTCTCCTGCTGCAGACCAGACCGAAGGGGGGGGGGCTCTTGCAGTGGGTTATATGGGTACAATCTGACTAACTGCCCGTGCTCTGTGACCTTTTGCTCCCTAGACTCCTAATTCTAAACCTTTACACCGAAATACAATAATAGGCTAAAGAGTGTTAGATTCACTAATATGGTATAGCCAGAAATCTCTAAAACGCAGCAAAGTGCACAAGGCCTTACATGCAGCAGCAACAGCAGCAGCAGCTCCTCAGTACTGTGCGTGTGCTAGCAAATTTACAGAGTTACACGGAGCCACTTGTCAGTTTCAAATTAATAAGAATCCTTTATTCAAGGAACTACATTCTAGATAGTGCAGGCTGAGAGACAGGGTTAGGATCTAATCTAACTAGCTAGATGGATATGGATGGAGAATACCTGTTCCGCACCCACGATGACAAAGAGGGAGAGCGTGCCCTCCTCCTTTGTGTGTGCATGAGAGAGAAGGTGCCAAGCTGGAAGGAAGTCTCATCCCTAAGAATAGCATTCTGCTTCAAAGGATAGTAGAAGAAGAGGAGGAGGAGATGGGATTTATACCCTGCCCTTCACTCAGAGTCTCAGAGTGGCTTACAAACTCCGTTCCCTTCCCCTACCCACAACAGAAACCCTGTGGGTGGGGCTGAGAGAGCTCTGTCAGAAACGGCTCTTTTTCAAGGACAGCTCTGACAGAACTATGGCTTGCCCAAGGTAATCCAGCCACTGCAAGTGGAGGAGTGGGGAATCAAACCCGATGTTGTGAGAAAAATGTGTCCCCACACTCCCCCTCTGGTTCGTGTGTCCCCTGAGTGTTGCCTCCTTACCAAAGGCAGAGGTGTAAGCTTGTAAACCACTAAGCGCTGACAGAGACACAGAAAGGTCTCTTATTAAAATAAAATTTATATTTATTAAAAGAAAATACATTCTAAGATTTACCAACACAGTACACTCCTATTTCCTAAATGCTCATAGTGAGAACATAAACAATAGACATGCAAGCAAAGC